AGTAATGGTTATTAAATGCGTCCTAATAGCTTAGCTCTGTTTTTATATTAACAATAAAAAAAATCTTTTTTAATTGTAAGGTATATCTATATAATTACATCTTTATCGAGCTCAAAACTGCTATACACAAACAATCAAAGCGTTACCAATGGCAGTTTAAAGTGCGATTTCGTAGTCTTTATAATATTTACCACAATCATCTCCCCATTCGTTTTTACTCCTTGGAATATCATAATAACATTAATAACTAAACTTCAGTAAACTCTCTTATTAAGTCAAATTAGCCAATTACAAAATGCACTAAACTGTTTGTTTGTTTTTTTTTTAAATAAAACTATTGTGTGATTACCTGGTTAAATGATAAACTTACAATAAAATTGTAATAGTAATAATAATAGTATTCAACTCAAAATAAAATAAAAATAATATCACAATATCAGTAAACACATGGAAAAACAACTAGAGAAAAAATATGTACACCAAAACACGTTTACCTGACGTCAGATGAAGTTTGATAAAATTCGTAAACAGCTTATCGAGTTACATTATAGGGAAACGACGTTAACAGATAGTCACCGGTACCAGGATCGCAGCAGAAAACACGACGGTCACCGGGCCCGGCCGATCGTTGGACTCGTCGATGTGACGGCAGCTGTGGGTTAAGGATCCGACAAACGACAGTCGCATACACTCCTAGTCGGAATTTAGATCAGTTGTCGACGAAACTCGGTCCGTCAACAATTATTTTTATTTATTTTTTTTTCGTAGAAATCCACGCGAGTGGGTGAAGCACTATTAAAAAATCAACTAAAATGGAAATACATATTATTTTCATCATTATTTTTATTGCTTCATGATGAGTGGAATCTAAAAATTAAAAACAGTTTGCCTGGAACGCATTTTTGAGTAATATGTTATTGTTTGTATGTATTATAATTAGAGCACGGACTATAATGCCCTAAAAAAATACGATATGATGCCTTATATGTATTATAATTTATAACATTTAATGTTGTATAGCCAATATTATGTACTATGTATGTGTAATGTACAATCTGTATCTGTATAATATACGTATTATACAAAACAGTGAGTTGACTGACTGATCTATCAATGCACAGCTCAAACCATTAGACGGATCGGACTGAAATTTGGCGTACTGATTGCTTTTAAGACGTAAGCATCCACTAAAAAAGAATTTTTAAAAATTTAACCCCTAAGGGGGTTAAAAGGGTTGAAAAATGTAAAAACAGAAAAAACCATCTAGTCAAAAACGCTGAAGCTATAAGTATAAAATTCGATCAGTTGTTTTGATTTTTGTTTCATGACGTAGACATCTACTAAGAAAGGATGTTTAAAATAAATATTAATTAAGTAAATTTAGGATACTTCCTGAAGTCCGATTTTGATGTATATATATATATTCGTTGTTATATGGAGTGTGAACTGTGTTCGTTAGGAAACACTTTCAATAAACAATTTTTATTTGTCTACAATCAATTCTAAGATATAGAATTTAAATATCAAGGTCAGACTCTCAAAATTGCGGGATTAGACTTATAAAAAAACTGTTTTTCACATAGGCAGTTCTACGTAGTTTGTTCACATATAAGCTCATCCAGTAGCTAGGTTATTTTGGTATTCTACTAATAGATTAGCAAAGATATTGTCTACAAGGAAGTTTTGTAGATAATATTTTGAATAACTAGTAGTACTCGTAAAACATTTATTTTAAACTTTTACTGCTAAAACTTACCGCAAACGAAGCTGCGGCCAAAAGCTATAACTAATAGAATAGGTTATGATAATAATAAAGTTGTCTTAATAATTACTTAATACGTATAACATTTTATTTCAAAAATCTTAATCAAACTGTATTTAAATAGAATAAACATTATTTAATCCTGCCAGATTATATACATTTTTATACTTAAACCCGGTAACGACGGGCAATTCAGCTTGTATAGTATAATTAATCATAATTCATAACTAATTATATACTATTATGATTTATTAAATTTGAAAGCAGTCTTGTACTCCTGTCATCAGATCTAATTATCACGAAATATATGTTAATAACAAAATATGCACAAAGACCTATCGCGATTCTTGTCCGATTTTTGTCATATTAGTATTTATTATTATATTATCGAAGTTTGTGTTTACTCATACGAATCCAAGTGGTAATTATATAAGGAGGAGGAGTAAAATGCTATGCAATTATTAGTGCATTTATAATTAAGATAATTATAAACGTAAAATAATTCAAATATTATTTAACCTTTTTAATTATTCTTGTTTTTAGCTTCCTTGGTCGTTGTTATGATAATATGATCAGACGTAAAAATCTTTTCATAAAAACAAATTGTGAATAATATAGATACCATGATATTATAATATCACGAAAAATAATAACTATTATTAAAATAAATAATATTTTTAAGTGTAATTTTGTGCAGTCTATTGAAGTTCAAATTATTTTTAGGTATTATATACATTTTTAAGAAAATAATGTTACACATAATATACTGGTTTAATTGATTTTCCATGTGGTATTATTTTATTATTTTATTTTTTTATGTTAATTTTATTTGAACCGATATTTAGGTAATTATCTACATAGAAATTTATAATTATTTTAATAATAAATTCAATAATAATAATAACCCTTACACAATTTTCTATAATATACATTTTCTTTTTATTGTAAAACTAATTTGGTGTTGATAATAATATTTTATTGCAACGAACGCCAAGAAAGTTTGTATATATGTTGTGAAACTGTGAACTGTTAAGTTACTTAAATTCATATAGGAATTTAGAACAAGTGCATATAAATTAGTCAAGTACTTAATTACCTATATTTTATTATAGACACAACAATTTATGTTATTATTAGTATAATAGTCATAATAAAAAAAGTTTATGAATATACCAATGTTGACTTTTTACTGTAAGATGACAGTGAAATTTCGAATATTGAAATAAACATGACGTTATGTTAATAGCTTTGTTTGTTGTACTTGAACCCGAGTAAAGACTCATAGTGACCAAACAATAATCATGATTACGTCGTAACATTTGTAATAATTACATTCCCATTAATCATGATATACGATATATCACGTTTACGAGCAAACATTTAACAAGAAGATTATGAACTATCGTGTTGTATGTTTGTTTACATTTATATTAATTTCAAATGCGTGATTGGTGAAATAGTATATTAGGGTTTGCTTATTAAAATATGATCGTCATCGTTTAAATGGCCAGAGACAAGGTTAAACAATGCCGGAATTGTGTATATTATATATTAGATACATATTGTATACAAGAAATTAATAATAATAATAATGTTTGTTTAAAAAAAAAATAAATAAATGATAGATGTATACCCATAAGTAATTTTAATTACAAATGACACGAATTTAATGGGGTTTTTTTTTGTTTTATTCTTTGATAATTGTTATAATATGTCTTAATGCGATATCATAGTCATATCCCAATAATAGTAACACGATTCTTTCACTACAATCTTAAAATCGTTCAAGGCAAATATATGGTGTATCTAAATTTGATAAAAAAAAAAAAAAAAATAAAAAAAAATAGATTAACAGATAACACTGATAACAGTAAAAAATTAGAAAAGTATATGTTTAATATTGTTTCTTAAAAGATTCATAATATTTGAAAATTTAATCAAATCAAGTAGGTAGGTACTTATCCATTTGAACTTAAATAATCTTCAATCACTGAACAAAACTATATATTTTGTGGATTATTATTTTTTGTATTAATTATTAGTAATTAATATCAGTAATAATATGAAAATAAAAATTATGATATTCAAACAATAAATAATAAATTATAAAACTTCATGTTTTACTTTATTTGATAACAAATTTACGCTCTAGAAAAAAATTAAATGGTTTTTTTAGATTTATAAATTATAAATAATGCACTATAAAGTTTAAAAAAAATGTATAATTTACGAGTATAATAAGTTTTTATTTTTATTCTTTGTATACACTTCTTTAATTAAGTTTTCTTGGATTAAAATTAACTCTAAAATTATTATTCTCAGTTTATAATCCTAGTTAGTATATTTATTAGGTATAAATATTAAAAAAAAAAAGATTGAATACCTACTCAAGATGTTTAATAATTTCAAATAAAAAATAAACATTAAAACTATAATAATTATATATTCCATAAACCATAATATATATAAAACATCATTAACTATCTAATAATTAATAGTAAAAACTGATAATGTAGGATTGATTAATTATCAATTTATGGATACTGTTATATTTTCAAGAAATTATTCATTTAAATAAATTCACATGTGTGCATTTTTATGTTAATAATAATAGTTCAAAAAGTATTGATTTAAATTACTTTGATTCTATAAATTTCTATGTTTTCATTGATGTAAGTAGATTATTAAACTGTTTTTAAATACTATTATTTACTTTTAAATGGAACAGCTAAATAAACGTGTCAAAATATTATTCAATATACCTATTATTATTTTTATTTCAGTGTTAATAAATTAATTACTATAACTTAAGTGTAAAAAATAAATTACATATCAATTAAAAACTATATAAAATAATAAATACCTATATATCATAAACATTACCAAAGTAGTGAATAATTAATGGTTTATTGTAAAACAAATTTAACTATCATAATATTTTACTATATCATCAATTTTACTTAATGTAAAAAATATAAATAAATAATAAGAATAAAAAAAATTATAAGGTATTATTATAAAATCAGTATTATACTTATAGCTTTATTGTTCCAGTCTAAAACACAAGTGTATAATATTTTGAAAATATTTCTAGTTAGAAATTAATTAACCAAAAAATAAGTAGGTTGGTATAATTACTTTTCATTACATAAAACATTAGCAATATTTAAGTTTTTATAATTAACTGTCTATTTGTAAGACAAGTATGATGTAATATTTATTTTGTTAAATTTATTTCTCATTTGATAGGAACTGTTTGATTTTTGGGAAACTCGTATACTGTAGTTGTTCCTTTGGAATTTTCCGGAAGAATTAATTTTAGATTTGAATCGGTTTTAGAATCTTCAAAATGGTTTTCATTTAAGTGAGTTTGGGGATCTTCTGAAGAAAAATTGTACACCGTCACCGTGTCTGAATCTTTATCGTACGAATATGTTTTGCCATCTGGAGTAGTCACCGTGTGGTTATTGTTTATGGCGGTAAAATTGTCGAAACGATTGGTAGCGAGACATGGCAGACCAAGTCCGACTGGGACGACTGGGATACGAGGAATGGATTCGGGAGATTGGACGTTTTGGACGAAGGTGAGTAGCGCGGTTCTAGGGGTGTTACTCAACAGCCGTGGATTGGCCGTCAGATATGTGATTAACGTCGATAGCAGAGTCGCGGGCAAGGTGAGGATAAGGCAGGGAGACGTGTTGAGAGCCGATATCAGTAAGGCGACCGTCGAAGGCGTGAGTGTGGTCAACGCGGGCTCGATGGTGACGGCGCTAAACAGCTCTGTGACAATTGAGGCCGGTAAGGCGCACAGGAACTTTGGTGACACAGTACACAGTGCCTCTATGAATGCGATAAGTGTGCCAGGAGGTAAGGTCTGGAGCAGTGTAGGCATCGAGGACAGAACGGCAAGGAACTTGAACAACGTGCACGACAGAATGGAACCGAGGATTGCGGGAAACGATGTGAAAAACCGGAGCAGGTCATCTAGGACGGACAGTGGAAGGCTGGCAAACAGGTTGGGGAACGTGATGAGTATGTCGATGAGACCGTTGAGCGAAGGTGGCGGAAGCGAGGCGAACGCCTGCTGCGAACCGAAAACTCCCAGCAGCAAGGCCGAGGCCGCGGCTGAAGGCACGGCGAGTAGGACCCGGGGTTGAGTCTCGGCGATCGAAATCAACAGGTGAGCGACGGTGGTTGGTCGGAGTGTTTCCAGTGCGAGCCGTGAAGACGCGATCACCTCCAAGAAGGACAGCAATAGACCCGGTGGCAATTTCTGGAGCAGGCGCGTTGACGATGCCGCCTTGATTATGATCGTGTTGAGTGTGTCACCAACCAAGGCGTCGAGGACACGTGGCGTCGTGGAGATGATCCGTAGCAACGAAGCTACTACAGTTAGTCGAAGTTCGTGTACGGTTTTCGCATCAGATAGCGATGCCAACAGAGCGTACAGGACCATGGCTGGTATGGTGCGAACTGATTCAGGTTCGGCTGAGGATAGCAGCGAAATGATAATAGACACGTCGACTCGTTTCAGTGCGGATGGTGTCAGAGCCAAATTCGTGCAGAAGTCGGCTAGCGTGTTAGGTGGCACAGACGTGGCCATTAACGTGGGCGCCGACGACAGTAGACCTAGCAAAGAGTCTAGCATAGTGGCTGGTGCGACGTCCATCAGGCACCGCGACGCGGATAAGACAGAGATGAACGCGGCTAGACACTTAGGCGGAAGGGTGCAGATCACAGACCGTGTGCCGATCGTATCGAGTATACCGACTAATATGACTTCCGGTACAGCATATAGAAGACACGGTGACGCAGAGTTCACGGACGCCAACAGGTAGACGATTTTATCGTACGGCATGGTGGCGAACCGGTTAGTAATTGCTGTTAGCAGGTTAACCAACACCACTGGTGGCAATCCGGCCAAAAGTCCGTGGTCAGTATTCAATAGATCTACGAGGTTTTCTGCGTCTGTTGACGTCAGTCCGTCCATCACTGTGTCCGGAAGCGTCAACGATTTCAACAGCTCTATCACTGTGGTTGTTGGTATTGAGCGCGAAGCGGTCGGCAAGACTGTGTGCAACGCTAGTAAAATCCGTACGAAACAACCCACCGGAATGGACGTTAGAAGCTGTTCAACAGTTGATAATGAAATCACCAGATTGGCGGTGATATTGGGTTCCAAAGCACTCAGTGTGCTCTTCGATGTCGACAGAAACTCTAACAAGTCTCGTATCGTCGCGTGGTCCACATTAGACAGCAGACGTGGACACGTCGAGAGGGCAATTATCAATTCAGCTAGAGACTCGGTACTCAGGCTGCCCAGCACGTCGAACGAACCGAATGATTTGAATATCTCACTGATAGGCTCGGGTGGTAGTGAACTCAACAAGGACGGCGACAGTGACTGTATGGCGATAATCAATTTGATTTTCTTTTCCAACGGTACTGCCAATGACGACTCGACAATCGCATCGAACAGGGCACTCAACGTTTTCACAGACAGCTGAGCTAAGATGCAATTAAATTTGGACAGCAAGCTCGCCAAAGCCGTCAGGTCTATCGGCGGCAATGAAGTAAATGCTTCAGCATCCGTTTCGAGAAAATCAGCGAACGCGGCTATCGCACATGGCGGAATTGCGCATAATACATCATTGGAAGTTTGGATTTCGATTTGATTCAACAGATCCAAAATCAATGTGAACGGAATTCCTGATAAGCAGTCAGGCGTCGTGAATAGTTGCGTCAAAATTCCTATGTAAACGGAGTTGGACGTTCCTTGTAACGCGCCGGGAATCGAAATCAGCGTAGCGAGTACGTTTGCGATCTGAGTGCCCGACAGCGTAGACGTGAGGTATGGGCAGCACGCTATACTTGAAAGCAGTTTTGAAAAGTAACTCAAGTCCAACGCTTTTAACGATGACATAGAATTAAGTATCGACAACAATTTTCTAATATTATCGGGTGGAATCTCTCGTAACACACACGAGGTGGCTACGGAATGAACGAAATCAATAATATCCGATGGCGGTGTAGCGTTCAAGAGCGTCTCGTTGGATACCATAAAGGTTGCGGTTGCATTCACGGAGCTTGCTGGCAGTTCGGTCAAAAATAATTGGGTTTTGCACAATATACCGATCAACTTGATGCTGTCCTCGATCGACATCGTACTAGTCACCTCGGGTGAGGTCAATCGCGTGGCATACGTAGACCGGACGCACGTAGGTATCTCACAGATCAGATGTGGCGACACGCATGTAACACCGTAGAGCAGGCCTACGATCGCTTCCGCGGTGACGGTGTCCACCAGAATGACCGACGACAGATCGGTCAACAGTTGGATGAGCACGGCAGACGGGATGGAGCACAACACGCTAGCGGGCGAAAGCGCGGTCAGCAACGAAGTAACGGTCAGGGGGTTCAACGAGTTTAGTGAAAATGGCGGACTAGTCAAGACGGTGACCAAGTCGGCGAGGGTTGTGGCTGGTATTTGATGGCTAAACTCAACGAAGTGGCTTAGCAAAGCGTTTACGACATTCGGTGGGACGCAGCCGAGCAAGGCAGGAGTCGTTTTGGACAACCGGCACAGAAAAGCGATCACTTGTGAGGTGGATATGGTTTGATTGCCGAAGGTCGGCGACAGCGCTATAGTTTTCAGGAGTTCGATCAAATCGACAGGATTCGTCGATCCGGCCAACGGGCATTCGGCCGACACGAACACGTCGACGATGGTTGATATTTCCGCTGGCTTGAGCGTGCCAAACGCTTTCGGTGACAAAACGCAATGGATTAGAGACGCTTTCACGGCGGGCGACAATCGGCATAGCGCGGTCGGTGCGATTTTGGTCAAGAGACAGACGACCGTGGACGGCCGCAAAGCGTCCACGATTTTCGGGCATAGGAATATCGCGGTTATCAGCTCGCTGACGGTATGGTCGGGTGCGACTTTCAGCAGTGACGGTGATGCGCACAGCGTCTCGACCAGACACACTACGTTCGGTGGTTCGATGGAGTTTAACAGCGGCGGCCGCCAAGCCAGTTCGTCCAAAACGTTGCATACCGTCGGGGGTGGCAGAAAGGACAGCAAAAACGGTGACGTTGGTAGAGCGTTAACAAGCAATACTATAGCGTGCACTGTCGTAGGCAGTACTAGATCCGTGCTGGACAACTGGGCTAGTTCCGAAGGGGAGAGGCCGCCGTACGAGAGATCGGAAGAAGTTGACGCATACTTGGAAGATGGTAATATCAGCGTCGTAGTCGTGTTGTTCGAGCAGTTGAGACACTAAAACACACAGGACGTAATTTCGTTAATATCGTTTAGTACAGAAATTAACGTTTATTGATTTTTTATTTACCCTAGAAAATTATATAGCATATGATATAATTAGTTAAGTCCACAATACAATATAGTTGATTTCAAAATATAAAATTCGATTATACTGCGTAGGTAAAATTAAAAATTATTACAAATTAAAGGAGAATAGTTGAGTATGCTTTATTTGTTGTTCGAATTAGGTATATGGAATCAATTCGTATTTTTAAGAATAAGAGTTTTTTGTTGTAACAGGTGGACAAGGCAAGTGTGAAAATATAGTAAGAGATATAAGTGAAGGGAATTTAATTTTAGGATGATGGATAGAAATTAAAGATTATAACCATGAATGAACGATTAGATGAGCAAAATCATAAGCTGCCTATGTAATTTTATGGTTTAATAATACGAATACGTTTCAGAAATATTTTTTATCGATTCAATTTGGATTTATATAATAATTGATTATTGAAATATAGATAAGTTAATTATATTTTATTATTATACTATAAATAAAATAAATATAGTGAAATATGGTTTCATATAGTGATTTAGACTTTAACTAAATATTTTATTTACAAATTTATTAGATAATTATATTTGATTTAATTTAAAATTTTAAAAACTATAATCATAATATATTGCACTACATACGTCTACATACTTAAATGAAAAAGAGTATTTTTATATAATGTTTTAAAACTATCTACAGATTTATGAGCTATAAATATTAAAATTAAAGTATATCGACGTGAAAACAATACTATTTACCTAATATATTAAGCACTTTATAGTTTTCGAGCGGCCATTATGATTTTCATTTTTCCTTCGTGTATTTTTGAATTTTTAAAATAAAAGTATAATAATAATAATAGTTTAAAACCTATTATATATTCATGTTTATCTATCGATTATAAATTATGCTGTCTGCAAGTTATTATTATTATCGAACATTATTTGTATTATGATAATTATCAATTAGGATTTGAATCGATTAAAAAATATTGTATAAAAAATGTATACATGTATACTATATTAATGTTTATGGGAAAAAAATATTTTTTCTTAAATACAAAAAGACTGAGTAACTAAGTGTTAGGTAAGCGAACGTGTTTAAGATTTTAAAATATTCATATTTTCCCTCTTTTTAGTCGTGATGTCACAATTCCGTACGGTATATTATATTATTTTTATAGCGTGAATGCCGCCTATTGGTGTTACCTTGCCATGTTACACGTATGAAATTATTATAATTTATATTATTACATAGATCATGAGTAGTTTAATTTTTATAGTATAACCTATAATATGTACATTAAATTATCACACGTGACTTTTTTTAAATGTTTTTGGTATCTGTTCTTTGAATCTATGATCAATTTATTATTATACACATTTTAATTCATAAACATGTCAAGCGACTCAAAATACAAATATTTTTTTGTACTGAAATGTACAAATACTTCAACAAAATGTCTTGGTGAACGATTTATGAGTGTTCCTTATGATTGTAAACAAATGTGGTTTTAAGTAGTAAAACGTAATGATCCTGTAATATCTAAAAGAAATTATGATTATTGTGAAGATCATTTTATTGTAATTATTTTTTTTTAGAATGAATTAATTAAAATCAATAACAGTGGCCTTTTTAAACTGGAATCTTATATAGAATTAATTTTTTCAGTTTAAAAAAATCTAGATAATTACATTAAATTTAAGCTTACAGAAGCATTAATACTCAAACTAAAGAAAATTATAACTAATCGCATATTTTTGATTGTCAAGTTGATTGTAAGCAAGTATCGATATCAAACTCTCGACCATTATATGCTGTTCAAAATCAATCTTGTGTAACATTTTCCAAGATAATATTATGTTTTGTATTTTTTTTATACTTGATTGTACATAATTAAAATGTTAACTATAATAACATATATTTTACATATTATTTGTTTTTAGAACACATAAGTAAATTTATAAATCATGCTGAAATAATAATTGAAGATAATTTCCAACATTCTGATAAAGAAACAAAAGACGTTGGGAATTGTTGTATTTAAAAACTGAAGTTTCAAGATAGAGACAGGTGACGAAGTGTAGTAATGGCGGCAAAAACTCTCAGAGAGTAGAAATGCTAGTAGAAGAAGAAGAAGAAGAAGAAGAAGTTTCAGAGAGATATTATAAATTATAATTATTAACGTTGATGAAAATTCGTTTAAATGTTTCATTTTTAGATGAACTGATTTTTTTGGTGTATCTAAAAATTTTTGATTTTGAGTTTTCAATAAAATTGTTAAAATAATTACCTATTAGACATTTTAAAGAATTTATTAAGTAGACAAGTAAAAAAAAAAAAAAAAATTAGAATTTGTTACAAATTATTTTTTGTTATAAGTATTCAGATGTGTGCAATCAGTTATTGATTGATTAGAAAATTAAATTACTAATTATCGGCTAATTTATGGTAAGTTTTACAATCAAACGATATTTTATTAAAAAAAAATTAATTTTTAATTATAATATATTAACATACATTTATTTTAATATTATCATTTAGGCAATTTATAATATTAGTAATTTAATTTGTTACTAAGAAATAAAAAAAATAGCAGTAACAATGATACATACCTTTAAGCTTTTGATCTCATAATTTCAAGGTTATTGAGGCAATCATAATTTTTATGTATTGTGTTATGGTAAAAATGCTAATTTTTAGTGAATGTACTTTTGATGTTATCCTTACTGACACGCTATATAGCTATTCACTTATTTATTCAAAACAAATATTTATAAAAAATACTTAATGTACATACAAGACATTGACATTGACATTAATTTTTACTTTCTATTGAAAGTGATACTGCCGATAGAATTTTTATCTAATTATTCAATTTTAAGTAAGCCAAGTTATTTTAGTACAGTCATAATATACACTCGCAATAATATACTGGACGAACGGACCCGTACCTTGGGCATCGTGACATTACACGTTAATTGAGTAAACCACACCTTCTCAAACTGAGAAATGTTTGTTTGACGAGCTATTAATCGTATGAATCAAAGTAAAATGAAAAATGTACAAATATATTTTGGTTTTTAATTTATAATAAGTAGAAGACGAAAAATTTTTTTTTATTCATGTTTTTATTATTGTTTAGTGGCAAGTAATTAAATAATAATATTATTTTACATTTTTTTTTTTATAGTAATAACATGTGCATACGCTAGTATGCACATTTTCGTTTTAGATTTTACCACAGCATAAAAAATTAAATAAATACTGAATATTGTGTGGCCTTATACAAATTTGATTAAATAATTATTATCATAATATAAATAAGAATTTATTAGTTTAAAAAAAATTAAAATGACTGAAATATGTACACAAAGTAAAAATAAAAACAAAACAAAATTAATTTAAAATTAAAAACTAATACAAATAAATTTCAATTAATACTTAATACAGAGACATTGTTGAATTTTCCATTATTTCTAATGACCTTGTATTAATTAAGTCTTTGGCATACAATAAATTATTGCTAACTATCCAAACAAAAAGGGTACCTGGCTATTTATATTTATGAATAATATTTTTTTGAAATTAAGTATTTAAAAAGGTAAAGTTCTCCATCTCGAAGGACAAATAAGTCATTATTCATATATTTGCCAAGATCAATTTTATTGTAATAGTTTTTATTTTATTTAAATTTAATAAACATTAATATATATTACTAAATTTAATATATTCATCCCAATATCTTACTTACCATCAGTAAAAACAATTAAGTAATATATTAACGGGTATCAGATTTTTAATACTATAGGAAATGTGGCTATGATAGTATCATGAAATCAACACTTTAGGCATTAGGTCAATATAAGCTTACTAACAGAACATTCAAATTAACTTTAATATTGACCTATAGCCCACAGTACTGATATTACTTGAGAGGCGTTTAACTCTTTGTTGAAGTAATCCAGATTTTAGTGATTTAATATAATATAATACCTTTACGGCACACACATTGAAAAAAATTACTGAAAATCTACCAAAAATGTCAAGATACTTAGTTCTTGACTCATAAAATTTGACTGGCAAAATTACTATTTAATACATAATATAATATACTTAGATGACAATCGAATATAATTTATTGACATTTAGTGGTCTTGGGTTCGATTAACAGTCGACACTTACATAATACATTTTTTATATTCACCCTTATTAATTCATTACAAATCAGTAGTTGTAGGTGCTATATTGTTGCGGAATGTTGACAGTGTATATTGATGCAATATTATAACTATGTATTCGAAATAAAAATGTTTTTTAATATTTTGTCTTATCTATCAATTAAAATGATTTTTTTTTATATAAGATTTAATAATTAACACACAACAGTGTCTTAATCAAATCTATGACATTTTTGGATAAAATTTACTTCGTGTATTAAATACAATTATAATATAACATATGTTTATAAGCACAATATTATAGGTACAAATAAAATATTTAAAAAAATATATATATATATCGATACCGATTATTTTTTGTTAATCTATATAACTCTACGAATGAGTAAATTGAAATTATTAACTACTTAATTATTCCATATCATAATATTGTTTTAAATGACTAGTTCTTATTGATAACATATAATATTAGTTAAATCCACTGGTAAATGGTATATTATATATACCATATAGTAAACACTTCAAAACTAGAAATTAAATTTGTAAAACAACACGTCACACTCGATCATGTGTACTTATTTACATTCATGATATAATTATCACAAACGTCAATGGGTATAATTATTCTGATAAATGATAAATCCATAATTTTATGGCGATAATCGATAAAAAAAAATACTATTGATAATATTTATATTTTAAAAATAGAGCTAATACTATTAGCCATATATTGATATGAGCTTTAAATTAAATTTAAAAAAGAGTACTTTATGAAATATTAATACAACAGGATTAAAACGAATTATTCTACTATGGCTATAGTCAGATGTAATATTTTACAAATTAGTTATATCAATAAAAAAAAAATTTTAAATAACATCTATCAGGTAAACTATATGCATTAATAAAACAGTATATAAATATATAGGTTATGCATGATATTTATCTCGGATTCCGGATTGCCTAAAAAAGTAGGTACAACTCATTGTCACGTTTTCACTTAATAATAATAATAATCATAAATTTATAACAGTTAACGAGACACGAGTTAAAAAATCTTAAATACTATTTAAATAATATTGTTGTGTAATAGAAACCCGATTGGTTTGATTTTATGAGCAGTACCTATTTTACATGAATGTATTGCAGTTTTTAAGACTCGTATTAAAAATTTAAAGACGTTGTTGTTTAGTTGAAACATAAAATCGATTTTAATAATAAGATCATCACTCACCTTTAATTTTAATAGTAATATTACGACACATGTGATGATTTTCGTTAATTTCTTCATTTTTATTGTACGCAATCGTTGGATCATTCATACATGAATGTTTGGGTCCGAGATTTGGCATGTACTTATAAATAAAAAGTCGAGCAGTTTGTAAATCTAAAACGATAATGAAGTCTATTGTCTGATAATGGTGAAAAATTGTTGATTGAACAATGAGAAATGTGCTTAGCAGTTATTTTTATCGCGAATTTAATCATCTTTTCTTCGATAATATTATGGTAAAATCAGAAAAAAAATCGTATAATTCATCGGCGGCAAGCAATAAAAAAGCTATGGTGCACAGTTTTAGTTGAATTATTGTAGTAGCCTCTCGTGATAGTGAATGTAGTTGACAAACATTTTGAAATGTCGAAATAAACAAATAAACGTTTGACAGAATATTGTAAAAGTTTTGTTCGCGTTGGGATGTCGGGTGTATGTTTGAATGTTTTAGAAGGTTTTGTACCATTAGCATAGAGTATATAGTAGATATAATTTATACTTTATACTTAAACAATATACATAGGTATCTTATATTAACAGACTAACGATACATTGTGGTTATTTTTTTTTATAAATAATAATGAATATTTTATAATAATATTATTTATCACTAGTTTAGTTTTTAGTTCTTAGTAAAAACTCGGTCATAAATACTATATTTTGTTAATGCCACCGAAACATTTGATTTTTTAATAATTCGAACGAGTCAGTTTTTCAAACGTGAAATTTAGTCATTACGTCATTCATTTTATGAGTAGATATTATGAATTTAATAATCTTACGCCCATGTAAGCGTACTATAGCAATAGCATATAATGTTTCTACTCGTTTACCAAAATTATACAAACACGAAAATTGACTGTTTAATATATTAAAAATATTAATATTATTTGAATGATTCTTGTATATATATATTTTTGATTACAATTTTTAAATATTTAATGACGGCTGATTACACCACAAAAAAAAAAATGATAAAATAAAGCCAACCTTTAATGCCGAGTGATTTTTGTAATTTTTTTCTGCGTCTTATAATAATTTTACTGCAAAAAAAAAAAAAAAAATTAAAACTGTAAGTAATGATGAAATTAAACCACTACAATATCAACCACAAATCTCGTGAATACAATATTATTACACAGCCAAGGCGAGACAACTAATTATAATTGATAATGGTTTAAGTTATATAACAAATATAAATTATGTTTATTTATTGAAAATCAAGCTCGGGCTAGATCAAAGATAGTGGAAACCAACGCTATTTCTATTGCTCTGCGTTTAAGATACCTACTGAAATTCAAACCGTAATGTGATCATTAGTTTAGACTTCTTTTATGAAAAGTATTTATAGACATTTTATATCTAAAGCGTTAAATTAGCATTATTTGGACTTTTATTATTTTGTTACAAACTACTTAAAAAAAAAAAAAAAACAACACATAATTTATAACTATTCTTCTTCTAAGACTTGTTTGGTACTATAACTATAGGTATGCGGTGTACAGCTCTGGGCCTCTGTATAGCTCTGAAGACAGTATTAGATGTTACCAATAAATAAAAGTTAGCAGATTTTTGACGTATTATATTATACTAATGACTCAATCCATATAAACTCGTGCATTCCAACATTAATTAAACTTTTTCTCTTATTTATAAATAAAACTCATGAAGGGTTAATAATCACTTGAATCGGATCGCTTCAAGACAAATTTTTAATAACTCACTCGTCAAGTGCAAATAAACTACATAAATAGGAGTGATTTAATCTCTTCCAATTCCCTAAACATATCATACTACGCTGTCTATTGGCCACTTACCCTCTTCTGGCTTTAAATTTAATTTAATCTAAATATCACACATTTTGTAATTAATACTTATTATACTATTTATACATGTTAATACTGTGTATACATATTATTAATATAATATATATAAAATTTAATTCATATAAAAAAGGTTTTTGATACAATGAAAGAAGATACATAATGTTATAACAAAATATTTAATTTTAATACACCTACACTGTCGAAGTAGTAAAATATAAAAAACATAAAATATGTAGCAACAAATAATCAATGAACTTGAAGTGTAAAAATGTCGATATATTATCGTAATATTTGATTTTTAAGTTTAGATACCTACTTATAAACACATAAATACCTTAAACATAGAAATTTACGAACCTATTGAGTACCTGTGGATTATATTCATATCGATATTATACATATAAATTCACATACATGATCTAAATAATTAGTAATATCACTATTGTCTAAATTATTTAAAAGTTAATCAATGGATGAATCGTTTTAACCATAAACGGCTATCAAAATACTTTAATCCCAATTTAAATCTTTTAAAAAGCTTTAAATCTAATGTTAGAAATAAGGAACATAACTATTGTGCACTTATCAATTCAAATTTTACAAAAAGTAATTTTCAAATATTATTTGATGCGTTAATTATTAGCCACTCGTATTATATAACAATATTTTCTTTACGTAAATAGATCATACCTATCAGTAAAGTATTAATCTAAATATTTTAAATTTTCATTTTTCACAATCTATACTATTTTTAATAGATTACTTATAAAGTTATTTATTATTTTAATATAAAACCCATATAAATTCAAAAAGGTGGGGTATAATAAATAAATAGGTTAAGCGTGAAAAAAATTAAATATTTATATATATGTATATATATTAATTAATAAATCCTCTCCTCAATAACAATAATTAAAAATGATGATAAATATTATTTTAGAATAGTAACTAGACACAATTAAATTGTTAAAAACTGAAATGCAAATTAAATTGTACTTATTAAGTATAACATTGGTTCCTAAATTTTTTTGGTTCAAACACACCTTACATTTCAATGCATTTATCAAAAATAAAAAAAAATCAATCCAGTCTTCCTTAAATAAATGAAACAAACATTTTCATTAGTGTATAGTACTATATTAGTACTTATAATGTATATGTACGAGTAAAATATTAATATTTATATAGCACCTCCCCAGTAAAGTGCTTGGAACCGCTGAACTACAGTGTTGTGATACCAATAAAATAAAACCAATTTAATAGGTAATGACAAGTATTTATATTATAGATAAGTACTTATAAATTTGGCATTTAACAGAATAAATTCATTGCTTGTAACATTTTTTAGTGTGTATATATTAACAATATTTATTAAGTGGTGATTTTATTGACAAATTAACAGGCGCAAGGTATCTTAGCTAGGACTGGTGGTTGATTGCATGGACCGGGTGGTGGGTAGCACGGTACTGGACATGGATACGGCGACGGAATCAAAAACAATTGGGGTAGACCAACTGGGGTTTGGTAAACGATATCAGGTTTTTGAACATACAAACCGGGATTGAAGAACACTTTTGGTAACGGAGCGGGTGGTAACACGACAGGTGGAGTCGGCAATGGTGGTGGTAATGCGAAGAATATTTTGTTTGGATCGGGAGCTGGTGCATATGTGATGGACTGTTCCTTAATTACATTTCCGTCGTTGATAACGATAGGGCCAGGTGCTGCTCCTGGAAGTATGATGGGTGCGGGAGCCGGACTTTGAGTCAGTTTGACGAGCAGATTAGCGGCTGGACCGGCGGGAACGACGATTGGAGCTGACTTTCCAGCTACTGACGGCAATTGGACTATCAATGGACCGGGTGCTGGTCCCGGAGCTATGACCTGAGGTGCAGGTGCGGGAACCGACAGAGTTGTAGCTACGGTCGGGGCCGGACCACTGATGGGTTTCAGTGGAGGTGCGACAGGGAGTGTGGTAAGGGGTGAATAAGGTGCCGCTGCTTTAAGAGTAGCTAATAAAGAGGCTAGAACAGCTGGACTAATGGGTGGAGAAGGTATGCACGGCGGTTGAGGTGGGGCTGGAAGATATGGGGATGGTAAAGGTAGGGCGGCTGGAAGATATGAAGGTGGAAGTGCTGGGGCAGGAAGACATGGTGGTGGTAGTGCAGGGGCTGGAAGACATGGGGGTGGAAGATATGGAAGAGGTAGTGGTGGTGCGTAGCAAGGTGATGGACAACCACCACATGGTATTGCTTCAACCTTATTATGGTTGAAAAAATGGAGTTATTAATTTTTTCTAAATAAAATGTAATTAATATTAATTATTTAATTATTTACCTTAGCCAAACAAACCACCGCCAAAGATGTTATAAATCCAAAACTGTTCATAATTTATTATTTTTCCGAATGACAAATACAATTAATAATTCTCATAAATCATTAGTATTGGCTCTTATATACTTGAAAATATTTGTGTTTGTCTAACTTCCACGTTCTTTTAAACTGATAACCAGTGTTTATGAATTGATATGGTCGATAGAATTGACAATATAATATTGTTTGTTAAAACAGCATGATCAGTTATTATCCAATTGATTGTAACGTTTTAAAATGTAGTAATCTACTTTTATTACAAATATGTATTTGAACAATATAGTATTGTTATTTGGATATTTCTTTGAAAACATCTTGAAATGTTAACCTTAGTTTGACATTATTTTCTAGAAATTAAAATCATATAAATTAAAATATAAATTAATTGCAATATTTTTTAGGTCTATAAACACTTAGTAATTCTAATATAATAATGGATTATATTTTATGAGAAACCTATTTATGAATAATTTATTTGGATAGTATATATTGTGGTATTAATAATAATCAATGAAATAAAATTTTGTAAATCAGGGTTGTTTTTATTCGAAATATACTGATTAAAACTAGCTTTCTGTAATATGTAGCATTGGGGTATCATAAAAAATTATCATTATACTGCAAAGACTAAAAATCAAATTTATGATATTCTTGAAAATCCTTTACTAAAAAATCAATTATATGATTTGGTTAATAGAACGTTCTACTCACACGTGTTGTCTTCATCTTATCGACGCAAAAAAACCAATTTTTAAGTACAATAGTTTAACAGTTATATGTTGTTAGTTTAATATTATTGTGAATTTACCTAATATAAAACTAAAAGGTAAAAACATTATCTGTGTTCTCTTTTTATTTATTTTTTAGGATATTTTATGTTTTAGTAGATGTTTTAAATAATATAATTTTACGTATTAATTAGTAACTCTCTTAGAATCTAAAATATTATTAAAATGCAACGATTTAACATAGATAATATTCTTACTTTTAAGTTTGATAATAGGTCAATATATTCTCATACTTAAGCTAATAACACAACTTAAACAGCTAAATACACATATACTATGTTATCCATTTGTAATACAAAGATTATGACCTGCAGCATCCTCTTAAGGTTTCGATATTTTAATTTTTAAGCAAGATATTGCAATATCAAAATGTAGTATTACAAATTTGAAATGCTCATACCTATACGCTATATCACTAATAATATTCTAATTTTTAACATTGATAGGTGGTAAATTTATTCTAATATTAAAGCTAACAACATATGTAATGGGTCCTACTAAACAAAAATTTACAATATTATATGTATGTAAGACTACAGAGACAACATATGCGGTTATGGCGTTCTCCTATTGTAAAATTTACTGTTAATACTTGAAATCTTTGGCGGTGTATACAATATTAGTTTAATTATATTGTTCAATGGCATATAAAAATGTTTTCTGAAAAACTGATACACATTGTTGACCATCGCTCATCTAAGTTATTGAAAACATTGTTTAATTGTTTTAAGTAGTATTTCAATTTTTATTACTAAGTAAGGGTCAAATTATTTTTATTTTTTTTTCATACAAATAAAAAGAAAGTATAAATAGTATTTTATGATCATAAATAAATTATTGATCAATAAATTGTTAATATATATTATACTCAACTTTCTATCATCAATATACAGTATATTAATCTTATCTTATTAATGGCTAATCTATAGTTTACAAACAAAATTGTTAACTAGCTGATAGTACTGTTCTAATCGGTTACAATAAACGTGCTGATGAGGATAGCAAAACATTAATGTTTTAAGTATAAAAGCCTAGCCGGGTAAATGATTTGCACGCAATATTCTCCGTCGTGTTAACGGTCCACTCGTTACAAAATGACGACATTAAGAGTCGTCGTAGCTTTGGCAATGATTTTTTCGGTCATGGTAAGAAATAGTATGTATATATATATATAATATTGGAGAAAAAAACTATTACATCTCACAAAACTATTTTATTTTATGTTAATAAGGTCATAGCTAACTGTTCAGATATTGAAGAATCATTATCGCCGTTACCGGAAAACCCATTCTTCAATAGATTTCCGGATCCTTGCAAAAGTCTTAACTTTCCGTTTTCATTTCCTTTGCCAGCACTCATCAATAACTTTCCACCACCAATTTTTTCTTCCTTATTACCATTTCCTTTTTCTAAACCAGATTTCAACTTTTTTCCTTCATTATTGACACCACCTGGACCCGTAGAACCACCACCAACTGTACCAGAAACACTACCATCAACCGTACCAGAACCATGTCCTGCTGAAAACACTTACTAAACTCGTCTCCAACAAATATTACTGCTTTGTTATATTAAGCGCCACACCAATTTTAATATCAAAATATAATATAATATTAATGACAGTATTGAAAATTACATTTAAACAATTTTTAATCATTCTTAAATAAATACATACATATTTTTTATTCGTTCAATCTTCTAGTGCATATATTATTTATTATAAATACGAGTATATGTATTATTGTTATTTCATAAAATTAAGTTAGATAAATATTATAATATTGTAAGCCAATTAAAAATACCAGTTTTAATATATAAACATTTAATAATATTATTTCGTGAATACGTGAAAATATCATTTATAAAAAAATATTGGTCGTTATATCATCATCAGTTCTATGACATTGCAATTATATTTATTTTGTAATTTTTAATAAAGTTATCATATGCCTATACAGTAGGTGTCAGTTGTACTTCGTAAGTAGTCTTTGTTATTGAGTAGTCACTGTAATCGTGATGGATGTTTTAAATTTAAGTTCAATGATAAATCTTTGTATATGATGAAAAACGATTATGAGCGTGAAGACAGTCTCATTTCTTGGTAATAAAAGTTAGGTTAAGTAATTATATTAAAATTTTAACAAATGTTTCACTTTTTTTTTTCTTAATTATTTATAAAAAGAATACTGATAATTTTTAATTTTGATCTCTCAAAAGTACTAACTAGATCCAATTTCCTACTAGTAACTTACCTAAAATTAAACAAACACAGAATTTTAACTTAAATATCAGATAAGAAGTAATAACTTTGATTTTATTCAATGATCTATTAACATTAATGACAATACGTAAATAATATCACAATAATTCTAGTTTTTAATTATTTAAAAAAAAAAACCAAAATTCATAAACTAAAACATGGAAACACGCCGTTAATCATATATAAAATAAAACGTTTATTAAAATCATTGTCATATTATGATAAATCGTAAGACATTAATAATTACTTAATATTTTTACTTACACTACAAATATAGGTAATTTATTTGCTTATTTCTAAGAAACATTGTAAATCTTAAATACAATTTAGGAAAAAAATCTTGTGAAAATTTAATTTGTAAACATTAACTTGTGTACATAATACAAATATATGCACGAAATACTTGTCATATAATGTATCAAAATGATAACATTAGAGATTTTGAATTAAATTAAGTAATGCATTATTATAGATTTTAATGGACGTGAATACGTCGTTTTTAATTGAAAAAAGTCAGAAAAACTTACTAGGTACTCTTATTTGGTTCTAATTTAATTATGTTTGAAATTGTTATTTACAAGACTTATGCAGTATTACAAATATAATAAACATAACGTCATTGACCGTTGAAATATTAAAAAATAATTACAAGTGTTTTAAAGTATAGAAGGTAGGTATGTACTGTTGTGGACATGTTTTGGATGTATGTAGAAACACAAAACAATAAATTGTTCAAAACAGCAATAGGAACTACACCGTTCTTATAAATAGACAGTACAGACAAGTTTACTAGTAGGTAATGAGTAATAATATTGTTATGACTTACAAATAAGAGTAAAGTTAAAACAACACATTTCAAAATAAAAAATAAAAAATATGGAAAATAAATTTGAATTAAATTTAATTTTTTCGATTCTCGTTATTTTCGTCATTATATCATTATTGATTGAAATAAAATTATATTTGTAATATTGTATATCGTTATAATAACATTACTAATGCAGTACAATAAACATTTGAATATTTCAATGTGACAATATAATATTATTACTAAATTTTTGTTTAATCATATTACATTAATAAAATTAATTAAATGATGTTGAAATTTTTAATATGAAAAAAAAAAAATTAAATTAAAAAACATAAATATCACATTTAATATATTAATTCACGACTTAATAACTAAAATCACATAATATGCTTAATTAATTTTGTGGATTTATATTTCTAATAAATTAATAAATATATAGTAAATGTAATCTAATACGTTAAATGACCAGATTATTATATTAATATATAATATTATATAATAGTATACATGTTTTATTTATAAACAGTAAGAATTGAAATGTTAGGTAAAACCATGATAAAATTGTTGAATAAATATGTAGGTAATCTATTCATATTTTACACAACTAAAATCATTTTTTTTTAATTTGATATTTGAAAATAAAAATGAGTAATGATTAATAGATAATGAAAATAGTTTTCATAGTATCCAATGTGCTGAAGCATTTTTAAAACTGCAAATAAATGAAAAAATAAATACTTAATGGATATTATTAATAAACAAGTTGTCCGAGAAATGATGTATAATAATTAAAAATTCCTAAGTTAATTTAGATATTGTTTAAGTTATTCATTTACATTCATAACGTATATGTAACTACTCAGAATGTATCAAAAATAATATTGATAAACATTGGTAACACAATTGAAAAATTCTCATGAGCTCAACATGTTAGGTATAACGTTATATTGTCGATAAGAAGAGTTTTTTTTTGATTATTTATTTAAAAATAGTTAAATTTCGATAAGTACTAAAAACTAAATACCTATATACCTTAACAGTTTTAGTAAAATTTTAAAGTATTACCCTGTGTCACAAAGTCTTAAAATTAATTATAATAATTATTTTCATAAAAATTTGTATCAACTTTTTTTAAATTTTGGTCGGTAAAAAACTAATTTATATTTATATAATGTATGATATATTATTTATAAATTTATAGGTATTATATTTTCTGTAATTTATATATTGTAAATTTATCATAATATGCTTTTTTTGAAAAAAAATGGTTACCTATCATATAATTAAATCGTTATATTGAAAATCAAAAGAATATTAAATTGAATAGAATAAATATATTTTGTAATCGAATAATGATTATAAAATCAAGCATTATTTCTAGGCACAATTAAATAATAACTGAAAGGCATACTTTTGAAAAATATATGTCATCTAGAGACATACAACTTTTGGACAAAACAACAAATAGTCCAAAGTTTTTCAAAAATAATTTTGTTGTGTATCTGAATACTCTTATTTTTACATCAAAATCTTAAAAATGAAATTTATGGCTGTGCTATACAGCTAGTATGAATGTGATTAAATTATAAACAATTATTGAAATCTGTCAAAAAAATAATTTTTAGTTATACTTTTTTGGAAAAATTATAAGTAATTATAATATTTAAAAATATATTTCTTGACAAAGATAGAACTATGACGAGTAAATAAAAATAAATATATAAGTACCTAGCTAGTTATATTAATCCTTGAAATTGTACGAATGCCAAGACGGATCATTTATTATTATTATTTTTTATTTTAAATACAAATTGTTAGAAATTTGTTTTTGTTGTTTTTTAAGTTTATTATTATAAAATTTGACTTAATGAATTTTTATATTTACAAAAATCAAATCAATTATTAACAATAACATAAAAAAAAATTGTAACACAATTTAAAAATAATAATAATATTATTGCTATCTTATCTATAGATTTGATCAGTCGTCCATGTATAATATATACTCGACGATTTTCAGACATAGATATATCGTCACACTCGTTTACCATTGCATCACGTACAACGGACCTACACTAGTGAAATCGTTTTCGTTTATCATCTCATTATATCCAATGATTTCCAAATTACATATATAAGGAAGTGTGTATCATATTAAGAGTGCATTAAGATTAAACTCATTATCCAGTCAAGTCTTGGAATGAAGTGGTCAACTTTAGTTGCCTGCTTAATTGTGTGCCTGTTGGATCTTAAGGTAATAATATCACTGAGACATTTTGAGCGATCAAAATATAAACAATAAATTGTTTTCAATGTTTAAATCTATTGTCCTATTGTATAAATATTTTTTTTAAATACTATGTAATTATCGAACATTGATAACAAATATCTTTTATATCAACTGATATAGTATACAATTATTTCTTTAATTAGAAATTAGATTTAAAGTTTAATATTGACAATTATATGTATCTTTTTTAATTAGGTTTCCGATGGGATTTCCTCGGTTCCTTGTTCCCAAGCAGCCTTAAGTCTACAAGACAGTTCTCTGAAAGCGGACCAGCCTCCAATTTTTCCCTCTTCATTAGCCCCCCTGTTAACAACTTTGTGTTCATCGTCAACCCTCAACGGTCTACCCCCTTCAGCGATCGTGTCAATTGTTAACACGCTGTCAGCAACGCCCGAGCTTTTCAAAACATTGCCACCTCCTACGCTCGTAGCACTATTGAGTGCCGTCTCGTCATCACCTACGGTTCTAAATGAACTGTCACCAATCTCTGTTCTCGTTTTGCTCGCCGCTGTCTCTTCAGCCACTCCTACATCAATTTCTTCTATACCACGTGCCGTGCTATTTCCGTTGTTGAAAACTTTGTCATATTCCGGTCTGCTGCCGCCACCTGGTTCCGTGCAGCCGAACACGGTTTTCACTCAACTACCACCCTTGCCTCCGCCGCCACCACAAATAATAGTACCCGGTCCTGCTTTAGGTCCAATGTATATAAATTTACCAAACAAATCACCCAAACCCCCACCGATAATCATACCGACTGGACCTCCGCCATCTATCGTTGTGTCCATCCCCCAACCGTATCCCGCACCGCCACCTTTAATCATGCCTTACGGCACTCCTGGTCCAATAGTGATTAATGAAGGACAAAACACTAGTCCTCTAACCACCCAAACAGTATTATCTGCCCCCGAACCACCAAAAATATTTTTTACCACACATCCATCAAAATCATGTCTCAATTCGATCGATGGAAGAACGTCACAACAGAACTATTGTCAATCACAGTTTGAAATTCCAAAAGTTTATGCCTTACCACCCGGTGTTTTGCCGAACCAATATTTTCAGATTGATAAAAAAAGAGCGTAATAACTTATTGTTTTTATTATTTTAGACCATTTGTAAATTGTAATCAAGTAAATAAATAGTGAAAATTTGTATCATAAAATGTTTATTTATTTTTAATTACGTTTTGAAAGGAAGATGATTAAAAGTATAGCCTGTAATACACAATCAATATAATTTTGAGATTTTTTAGACTTAAAAATCAGCTCTTTTTCCTTGCAACTGGGTGTAATTTTTAAGAGGTTCATTGAATATTTTTTTCAGTACAAAAATATAAATTATGGAATAATATATTCCCATTACCTCCTCAAATACATTCTAAGTATAATATGATAAGGTTATAATATTACATAAAGTTGTGTTACAGATTATTCACTTAAAATGTAAATCATAAAAGATTTAAGCAACATTATTTTAATATTATTTGGATCAATAATCAAATAAAGATTAAATTCAGTTAAACAAAATAAAAACTCTGTAGTAGTTATCAATGATCCTCTAGTATATTAAATTGGAATTGTACTAATTTTAATATACATGATGCTGTTGAAAATTTATTTTTACTTGAAAGAACAATTTATTTATTTTTTAATTACCAATAGTGTTGAAAAATATGTTATCCTCATAACTTTACTTAGACACTTTATTTTAATTGAATCTCATAAAATTTAATATAATAGATTAGGTATATAATTTTAAGGAACAGATAAAATAGTGTACCGTTTGGACAACAATTTAACTTAATTTTTGTCATATTATGATTAAAATATAAATATATATATATATTATTATAGCTCAACATTAATTATACTTATTACTTATAATCAAACTAAAACGTTGTTTGTAAAAATCATAAACATTCATGAAGTAACCTATCTATGAGTAAACTTTTTTAATCTTCTATTGTAATCATGTTTTTTTAATAAAAACGGTAAATTATTGCATCTAAGTTAAGATATCTACGAAAATTTGTTGAAATTGAATAAATTTACAAATTATTTTAGTATTAAAAATGTATTATCATAAACTTTTTAATATCCATGTATAATATTTGATAATACAATGTTTCTCATAAGTTCATTTTAAAATAGTTGAAAAAAAATTGAGCGTTAAGTCACACGCACTTATTATATGAGTGATTAAATTAAAAATGTTAAAGGCATGTCATCCTCCAACCCTTAAGGTTCTTGCTCTGTCAGAGTCATAAGAAAATTACTAAAAAGAAAAAGTTAACAAATATTAGATAAGCATGATATTATTTTAAAACACTGATCCAAAACTTATTGTACCTATATAGTTTGACAGTGGATGTAATTAATGTAGTATTGTGACGTAAAATTTATATAGTTAAGTAAATTAAACAACCAAAATTAAATATTAACTTAAATTAATAAATAATACAAGCAGACCATTAATACTTGCAGTTAATATAAAAATTATTGTTATTAATAAAATTAATATTTAATTACTAATTATTATATACATTATACAACTATAATAATTATTAGCTATTTGCTATTACCATTTAACTATATATACTCAATGCTATTACTTATTAGTAGTATTATGTATTCGTGGTAATTATAAAACATTTAAATAAACAAACCACTCATAATACAAATTTTTAAAAATTATAATTATTTTGTCATAATTTATTTTAAAGTAAAAACACAAAATAATAACAATGTAATTTTTAAATTCTACTATCAATAGTATACTTCACATATAATATAAAATCTGAATATTTATTATAATAAATACAAATTCATTATTTTAAGATACATTTTAACCACAAATTGACGTAGTGAATAACATTATTATTATAAAATAATATTTATACAATTATTTTTCTATATTTTGAATTTGTGTAATATAATATTGTTTAATATGTTGAAGCTTATATCCAAAACCATGTTTGTCAATCCCTAAATTATTTAAAATTTATTTATTTATATTACTTACAGTTTAAATTTTTTAAGAGAGTAAAAACTATTACGAGTTTTTAATTATTTATACAGAAGTTTTTTATTCCCTACATAAAATATAACCGTATATTTAAAATATTGAGTTATAAATAATACAAAATTAATTTCTATAAATAATATCTAATATAATTAAATTATAAAAATGCAATGTCATAATGTTTAAACTTATATGTAGCTGGTAAAAAAAACATGGTTCTACCCGTTCTAGAAAACTTGAAACTATGAAAGACGTGGTAATAGTAGATTACACAGTAATCGAATAAAAATTAAAAAAATTAAATTTTTTTTCGAACAATATTTATATTCTGGAATACATGGGGGAAGGAGGAAGTGCACACTAGGGTGGACTAGATAAACATAATAGAGGAGTTATAGGAACTGATATTAAATTTGGCGGTGGTAAGAAACATGATGATGAATACAGTTATGGATATTGTAGCAAGTAAGGGAGTGAGAATTGTAGTAGTGATAAGCATGGTAATGGAAATGGAGTATTGGTGTTAACCAAGGAAGAGGAATAAGTGTTAATGATAGGTAGAATGATGGTGGTTAGACATGGTAGTACTGGTAAGCATGAATGTAGAGATAGAAAAAAATAAGGATCTGGTAGGTAAGTAGTAGATTTAAGATATCGACCACATGGCCCATGTGGTACTGATCTAATCTTTATAAAAAAAAAAAAACAATTTTAAATATTTGATTAAATTAGAATTCAAAATTTAATTCTTAACTTGACTAAGACAAGCCAATGCCAAAATCACAACAACTCTTGAGTTGATCACTTTTATTATTGGGAAATTAATATTACAAAAAGCTGATAAACACAAGGATTACATATAGGTATGGCATTGATGCAATTACATTTTTATAGTCGAAAAACAAAAAAAAAATCATTGTTTTTTATTCTTTCACGTTCTTTAAAACTGATTACAAAAATTGCTATACTTATCATCATTATTTATAAGATACTAATAAGTTGATGATTATAGTTATTGAAAAAAAAAAACACGTCCATAGTAGGTAGTTAATACATTAATTGATAATTTCATTGAAAATCCGATAAATAATTTTATGTAAGTTAAAGTAATATTTTCGTAGCATTCTTTTAGTTCTTAACATATATAGTCACAAAAAAAAAAATTAATTAATTTAATATACATTATATAGATTATAAAATGTAGTCTAATTATCTACATTAATTGCTCAGATCAAGATTTTAACAACTGAAAAAAAATTGAAAATATAACAATATAATGTATAATATACCTATAAGTACAATTAAAAATTGTTTAGTTTTGCTTTGTAATTATTATAGTACTGCATAATTTGTGTAAACTATTATAACATTCCATGGTACCTATATCAATATTAAAGTTCATGCGACTTTACAGTTTATAATGATTTTAATAATAACATAAATAATATATAATATAGTGCTAGCTAACCCTGTAAAGTTTTGTACACAAGACAAATTAAAATAAAGCCAGTGGATTAATCATTTCTTAAATTCTGTTTAGTATATACTTTACAAAATTTTAACACATTTATTTAAGTAGTTTAGTTTTGATCAAAAATAAATTACATGTTCGAAGTTATAAGTAGTTGTAATACGATTTTATTTCTGTAAAAATTTCAAAATAATTTAAATAAAAATATACTTGTTTTTAATAAGCCATCAAGTTCAAGTGTAAAACCCTTTTTTAAATACAAAACTGAAAATAATTCGCTTTGTGGCGCACGTTTTCAAATAGTTAGATATATTTCTAATCTAACCTAGGTACTAAATTTTAAAAGAACTATAAATGCATATAATATATATATATCCATACACTAGAGTATTTTATTGGTATAGATATATGTCTGATAAAAAATTGAAAGAAATATAATACTAAAAATCAGTATTACCTGAAAAACAAAATATATAAAAAATGATGAAAGATAAATACAAATTTTATTTATTTTATACACTCTACTCCTATTTAGTGTTTATATATTTCTTGAGAATGATTAATAGAAAAATGTATAGTTTGAGATTTCATAAATTTAAATACATTACACGATTAAAAATATAAGTAAATTATATTGTTAACTTGAGATATACTTTTTTTCACTCAGACAATACGTTTTATTACATAAAGATTCAAATAATAATTAATTTATTATGTAATTCAATTTTAACTATTAATACGAATATTAAACAATTTAATATAACATGTAATTATCATGATCCTTGGAATTCGATTTTAAGATTTGTAATGTCATGTGATATACTAACATATTTTAAATTGAAAAAAAAAGAAAAAAAAAATGTATTATTATTTAAAAGGTTATATTTTGGGAGTTCTGATATAATCATATTATAATTTAAAATATTAAAATGGAAAATTAATTTAAATAATAATTTAATATTTGAAAAATTAAAACTAAACTACTTAATTATAAACATATACACTGGTTGTAATTAGATAGTATACATTACATATTAACTGAATAGAAATTAGAATTAACCAATAAATTAGAAACTTTGAGTCTTTAAATTAAAATAAGTTTTTTAAATGTACATTCCATATGTAAATTAAAAATAAATCCCAAATATTTTACTCTTAACTTATAATTATAATATATATTTCTGAAACAATATTAACACAACAAAAATATTATTGGAATATTGAATAAAAAAATTGTATTAATTTTCTTTTATATCAACAAATATTATAATTTATTAGGCATATTTAAATATATAGATAATTAATGTGATTAATTTCTGTTTAAATAAATATTTTAATAATAAATAGATTTGTATGTTTACTTGCAATTTAACTTGTTACATAGCTACACTACAGAGAATTTATATTTATATAATTGTAAATTTACTTTAAAGTATCTATTTAGAAAAATTGTGTAGGTACACTATATTTTACGTCAAGTCCATTATCTGTGTATCCATCAAGTATCTTAATATAAAATATTTAATTAATAAATAACCCAAATATTAATGAGTTGTACCTATTTATAATGACTTCTTTAAAAAAATTAATTATTAATACTATTATGATCAAAACAAATATCAACAATGACCTCTATTATACATTGTTATTGAAATAAATTATATATACTATATCTATATCAGTTGTTAAACACACATATGCAATGAAGATATTTTATAAAAACGTTTGATTGATCGCATATCCGTTATCAATTTAAAACGTGGACAAAAGTAAAACAAATTAAAAATTGTCCAGAGTATAAAAGTCGAACTGTTTTATAGCATTACATACAATATTAGAAGTATTCGCGTTTTAACATTCATAGTGTGTGTTTAAATAATAATAAAAAAAAAAAAAAATACAAAAAAATGAACACTTTTGGAATTATAGCCACCATGGCAGTGGTTTGCTTGGCTATGGTAAGAAATTATTTTTGTTATTATTATTCATATACAAATTTGCACTTTATTTAAAAAAATAATAATAAATAATCATGTTTTTCAATAATTAGGTCAAAGCCACACCATGTCCTCCATCATCATGTCTTCCAGCCCCTGCACTACCACCTCCATGTCTTCCAGCCCCAGCCCTTCCACCCTCATATCTTTCAGCCCCTGTCCTACCACCCCCATGTCTTCCAGCCCCTGCATTACCACCTCCATGTCTTCCAGCCCCAGCACTTCCACCCTCATATCTTCCAGCCGCCCCACCTTTACCATCCCCATGTCTTCCAGCCCCACCTCAACCGCCGTGCATACCTTCTCCACCCATTAGTCAGCTGTTCTAGCCTCTTTATTAGCTACTCTAAAGCAGCGGCACCATATTCACCCTACCACACTCCTGTCGCACCTCCTGAAACCATCAGTGGTCCGGCCCGACTATACAACTCTGTCGGTTCCACCTGCACCTCGGGTCTAGCTCAGGACCAGCACCCGGTCCATTGATAGTCCAATTGCCGTCAGTAGCTGGAAAGTCAGCTCAATCCGTCGTTCCGGTCCAGCTCATAATCTGCTCGTCAAACTGACTCAATCCGGCTCCGCACCCATCATACTTCCAGGGCGGCTGGCCTATCGTTATCAACGACGAACGATATATGGAACGTCCATCACGTGCACCAGCTCCCGATCAAACAAAATATTCTTCGCATTACCACCGCCATTACCAACTCACCTGTCGTGTGCCACCCGCTCCATTACCAAAAGTGCTCTTCAATCCCGGTCTGTATGTTCAAAACCTGATATCGTTCCAAACCCCAGTTGGTCTTCCTCAATTGTTTTTGATTCCGTCGCCGTATCCATGTCCAGCACCGTGCTACCCACCACCCGGCCCATGCAACCAACCACCAGTTGTCGCTAAGATCCCTAGCGCTTGTTAATTTGTCAAAATAACATTTTTAATGTAAATTGAAAACAATTATAAATCAGTCATAAAAATATATCATTTTTGAATATTAATAGTATATTATCTTAAATAAATATATATTTTGTAAATTTAGTAAATTCATATACGTAAATAGAATCAAACAACATATTATTTTCAACAACATATAAATATACTTAACATATTATGAATAAAATAATCAATTTTATTTTTATTTTTGATCTAAGAAATGATGACTAAATTATGTTTTAAATGACAAATTTAGCCAAACCAAACGTTAATTTTAATAATTTATTAATAATATTAATTATTATACAATATGAGATTCTAATGTCTTAATTTTGTTTCCTTACTAGTCAGAACATGGAAACTTTCAAATTTTATTTAAATTATTTTGTGAGTTTTTTGGTCGTTTTTTAAGCTGCTATTATTTACGTTTACATATATGACTTTTCAACGCTTATGGTTTATTATGTTAACTAAAATTAGTATACTTAGGTATATAGTTAAATCTGTTTTTTTTAAAAATATTTTGTCTTCACTCAAATTATATCAAATTAATTATTTTGACAAAAGTGTTTAAATATTTACCGCTTATAAAACCTCATTATTGTCTGAAAGGAGATAAATCATTACAACTACTTTGTTGGTTATTAGCCTCAATAATTGTTTGTTGGTAAGGTAATAACCTTACAGAATATACTGATTGTTATCATAGTATTATTAATACATCAAAACCAGCGTGTATATACATTTTTTTTTTTATATTTTAGGTTTTTAAGCAATACAAATATTAAAAACACTTATGTTTCTTTTTACACGTCTCTAGCATATAGAACTTTGAATATAATTAGTTGTACAATAATATATTATTATAATTTTATTCATTATATTTGGATATAAATAAAAAATTTTCATAAATAATATAAATTAATATTATGCACTTTAATTGTAATTTAAATTTTTTTTAACACTAGTTTGAAATATTAAAGCATTGATGTTGCCTATTACAGTTTATATTAATATCAATAGGTAATTCAAAAAATGTTTCCAGATAAAAATTATCTTTTTTTTTATGAAATATGCAGTTATCTTATAGTATTATTAAAATGGTAATAAAAGAATTTTATTTGCAATATTATCTTTAATTTTAAATGTTCGCTGTACAGAATATCGGTGGAGCAACACTTCTCTCTTGACGAGTGATTAACGAAAAATCTAAGCTTTTAATTTGAGGAAGATAAAATAATACAAGACAACGGTATTTAATTAGCCGTGATATCGGATTTCCGTGTAGAGTTAATGTTCGTAATTTTAATAGAGTTTTTAGTTTCGAAACTTCCTTAATGTCATTTATTTGATTTCCGTGCATGTAAAGTATCGACAAATTTTTAAATTGAAGAAATTCCTGAAAATAAATAGAATAATCGTAGTACTAACGTGAATCGTATCATGTATACTTATATACATATATTATCTAGTCATTACTCATTAATAAGTCAAAATTGGCAATATTTGAATAAATAAAATAAAATAGCTTCTTCAGTAGAAACCTAGCATTAGTAGGTAAGTAGAATGTAGTTGTCAAAAGATTAGTAAAGTCAGTTTTCAAATTTCCTTTATAATATTTTATTTATGTACTTAGATAAATTGATATACCTAAATATGCCTAACCGATCTAACTTATGTACTCTATTACAGAGTAGTTGTTGATTTTTTTTATAGATTTTAGTATTGATAAAAATTCGTTGAACGAATAACATAAATAAAATTTTATGTTGAAACAATAGTTCGATATAAAAAAAAAGAATACAAACATTTTTGAATATCCGTTCTTAATATGAATGATTATAAAATGAAAAAATATCATAAAAGTATAAATTATTGAAAAAATTATGAATGTTAATTTGTAAATATAGAATAACTAATTGAATCTAATAAAGTCTTTTAGAAGACATTTTTTAAAATTTATCACATTATTGATGTTTTAACATTTGAATGTATGAGTTGGTTTTTTTTGAAAATAACAGGTTAAAATAAAATATAGATCTTACTTAAATTAATTCTAGATAGTAGAATAATTGTATATAATAACGTCATCTAACCTAAAATATACAAATTACTCAAAATATCGTGTTGTGTAAGGTACTTTTTGTTCAATCGATAAAATAGACCTGTTTACAATAACATTAAATTTAATCCCACAAATACTTTGAGTTATCGGAGTTGAGTTCCTTTCTTTAATTATAATAATAAGTATAAAGATTCAATTAATTATAAAATATTAAAAATAATAATAAATAAAGGTACTTTTTGCCTAAAGAATAATTTTTTAACGACAATTATAAAAAAAAACCTAAAAAAAAAATTAAAAATTTGTCATACCTATAAGGCTATAAATATTTCATAAAAGTAGCATGTTCTCAATTAATTTTTTAATAATAATATCATATTGATAGGTATTCCATAGAATTACCACATGCATAACCACATTAAGCAATTATTATGTTCGTTAGGTGTAAACAATTTGTGCACTTTTTAATAATATAACATTAAACTCGACTATTTTTTGGTGTTAGTTATCCCCAATAAAAAATGAATATTAAGATGTATTATAATGAAGAATCTTAGGTATAGGAAAAATTGTGTAATCGTGTGGATTAAAATAATATTAAAAAAAAAAAAAAATTAAAATACACAATTTTACAAGACATCGAAGATAAAAATGGAATTACATTTCAAATAAAAACAGTTAATTAAGTTCGTGCTGACTTTCAATATGTTCACACAATTATTTTTAACGTACTCTCACAATAGTTTATACCTGGCCAATGTTTTTAAATTCATTATACGAAACGTCAATCCAAGTCAAATATGCTGGCAACTCGAGTAACTCTTCGATTGATTTGTTCAAACCTTGTAAGCTTGTTAAATTATTATTATTTAACCAAATGGCCCCACAAATGAATTTCTTATTAATACCTCTATCGGGTACTCCGTGAACTCTTACAGATAACGGTGTTTCATTTATTAGTTCTAAAATAATAATAATAATTATATGAATCATCGGTGTAACCTAGCATGGTAATTTAAAAATTGTTTGTTTTGCAAACGATTTCTTAGAGTAAAAACTACGATTCCGTAGTATTTTATGTACGAGTACCTACTTTATGTGTAAAAATGAAATGGTGTACAAGAATGGACGTAAAAAATAATGTCTGTGTTATTGGTATTAAACGCTGTGCGAAATTACACCGAGAATGTGAAATGTTCAATTGTTGTATTTATTCTTACTATTTAGCGTCCTAAGATTTTTGGATGAATAATCCAAAGGCTTCCCTAATTTAATGTCTTGTACAAACTTAGGATCAGTATGTAAAAGTTTTGGTATGTTTCGACTTGAATCATTCATAGCAGTGTATTTTAATTTAGTTTTAGTATACAATTGTTTAACGTGTAATTAAATTATTGTAGTAAATTTTCTATAAATAAGCGTTACATAGTAAATATAAATAAATAAATAATTTTAATAGCGTACGATACTTGTGTATCCAAGACAATAACGTATAATGCTATATTATAATAATTATATTTTTTTTTTCAAAATGGATGTTAAACTAGTTACTAATAACATTCTTAGTAATTAAAAAAAAATATATATTTATTAAATTATATTAAAACTGTTAATAAAGTATCAATATCGTAATTTAATTTCTACAGTTATTTTAAGTTGTATAATTATAGACGATATTTAAATCTACGTATTAATATTATGTATACTGCTAATTTAATCAAAATCGATTGATAATAATAAAATTAGTATAAAATAGTTTTATTAGATAGTTGTTTTATAAACATTTTAATATAATTTTATACAGCTTTTATTATTTTTATCACTTGTTAACCCATCTATCTTATTCTTATTCTTATATAACCTTATTTTTATTATATATATGGTATAATTTGAATTAGGTACCTACAATTATTGTTGAGCATTAATCTATAAAAATACATTAAATCAACTCGAAGCAGTAATTTTAAAAGTAAATAAAATAAAACTAATAACATTTCTTAGTAAAGCTAAGTTTGCAAGGAAAAAAAATTATAATAAATGCCTTTTTTTCTTAAAATATTTTATTTTCATAAAACGATTATAAACCTAAATTTTAAACACCATAATGTCCATATAATTTTTATATATATTTTTTTTGTTATTTAGTTTATTGTATGTTTTATTTAAAAGTAATAAAAGTGAAAAAAAAATCGGTTGCTAGTAGTGGTTTTTGCGTTTAACTTTATTGATTTATTTAAAAAATTTGAGGTAGCATTTAAATTATACAACCAGTTATAGACTTGTCTAATTTTTTAAACTTTTATTTCGATTACATAGATATACTATTGATTTATCTCAAAAGTCGAAATACGTATCATAATATTATCTCGTAAGAAAACAATTTTTATATTTCTAATTATATATGTAACATAAATATTAAATATATTAAAATATATAGGTATGTTTATAAATCTCAGATATCTATAATACAGAACGTATTTATAGACACAAATGTTATCATTATGGTTTCAAACATCTTTTTCGTGATTATTCAACGAATTTGCAACGGTTTCTTGCAGGTTGAATTTTGACTCAGTTTCTAGATCTTCCATTTCAGCCCATAGATCGTCTTTATGCTCGTATATTTCCACACGACTCATCGTTAGCGACGGGACGTCCAGCGCAGATACTTTATCGGAAATCAGGAAACTCATGTCACATGAAGATTTCACTCTGGCCACAGACTGTGTTTTTGGCAGACACGGTAACATTCCACCGATAATCGGTAGTATTTCGTTTGACAACCACATAGACTCTACACGAAAATCATTAAAACGCACACGGTATGAATTATAGTATATAGACATATGACCGCATAATATTATGTGTACGAATTAAAAAATTCTATAGAGAATCTTTGAACGGATGTGTAAATGACGTGTAAAAAACTATTACTGCAGATTTTATTTTGTAATTCAGCGGATTTCGCGTTTTCGTAGAATAGGTTTTCCACGTAAGTACCACTTTGCATGCACGCCAAATGTTCAAACACATAATACCCTTTTCCGGAAACCTTAAACAGTAGTATTCAAGTGATTATTTTTAAACACAATTTACCATTTTATAGAGCGTATATTATAGGTTTTACTACCTACAATAAATGTTTCTTTTACTCATTACTAACCATCTCGTTGTCATCCCACGTGCCATAAAATGTGAATCCAGTACCGTTACTAGCCGGATAGAAAACTTGAAAGTTTTTAACTTTTTTATCGTTCAACCACATTCCCTTCAAAATGGCACCAGTTTTGCAAAACGTGTAAGTTCCCAATCCATGTTTCATATCAGACTTCCATGATCCCGAAAACTTGTCTTTGTTTTTAAATTTGAAAACACCTGTGCCGTCTTTTTTATTATTTATCCAATGACCTATTCAATGGTTGTATGTGATAATAAAAATCATCTTTCAATTTTAAATGTATAATGTGCATAGATTATAAATATATACAATTTTTTTTAAATTCCATACAAATTAAACGTAAGAGGATATTTGGATTATAGTATTACGGGTTACCTTCATATTTGCTCTTGTCTGAATAACGCATTATTCCTTTTCCGTTCCTCAGCCCTTCTCTGTAACAACCCTGGTAAATGGCGCCGTTTTTAAATCTGTACTGTCCGCGGCCGTGCCTATGCCCATTTTTATATGTTCCTACATAGGCATCGCCGTTTGGTAAGATAGCTTTGCCGAACCCGTGTCGCTCATTGTTGCTATTACGTTGCCCTTTATATGCCTGCAAAACGAAACGTGAAAAATCGACTCGTCTCGGTGTAGAACGTGACTAATAAGGTCAGTTAGGTGCGACGAGTTATAATGATGAATTTTAAACAAAATATGTTGATAACGTGGCAACATGGCATAAGAAAAACCAAGAGTGGATGGTGTGAATTCGAATTCGATAAAATCAAGAACATCTTGTTTCAAAGAGCGTGTCCCTTTTCTGTCAAAAAAAAAAAAAAATAATAAAAAACAGATCTCAGTTATATGCCTAGCATGTCTTGGATAAAATAAACTTAATTGTGTGGGTTATAACTGAGTCCACAACAATATACATAATACTTGAGCAATACTTTGTTTTTTCTTAAAATATTAATTGAAGTGTTAAATTTGTGTTTTTTTTTTTTTTAATTAAATAATGAATTATAAAGTAAAAAAAGGAAGAAGTTATTTTACTAAATTATACAATTAACAAATATATTAATATGTAGGTTAGAATAACCAATGTGCATGATGCATTTGTATCCACTTGCAAAGAGTGAAATCACCGACGAGGAAAATCTTAAAATATAATATTCTTAATATGAATACAGAATAGTAAATACACTAGAGCTACACTAATTTGTGACGTATTTATGATTTTAGAGCTATCGTGGTCATCTCAGATAAACGTTTTACTGCCCCCCTCTATATACATACAAAAAAAAAAAAAAATATATAATTAATATTAAATTCAAAAAATTTAAAAATAATTAACAGTATAACGAATTTATATAAATGTGCTTATAGGTATTATAGTGATTAGTTTGTGTCATGAATAATAAAAATGTTCAAAAGCATATCATTTTGATAAATCTATATAGTGTCTGATAACCAACGTTTGTTGCCAAAAAAATTATATTATTTTCAAAATATTTGTTTGAATAGTGTTTAAATATTTTTTATCCATTTTAAATGTCAATCATTTTATAAACGAATGTCTTAAATTATCACTTGCGATCATCGAATATGGTATTTTACTGACTACCGAGACTCAAATAAATAACAAATTGGACAGTTGTAATTGCATTTATATTCATTATTAGAAATGTTAAAATATTGTATTTTATTATTTTTTGTATAATACCGTATTAACACCTGTGTTATACCATTATTATACCATATAGAACCTAATAATACCTTTAATAATCGGAAATATAACACAAGTTATAAAACTTTTGTAATTTATAAATATGAATAATTTTAAAATTAATTAATTGAAAAAATGGCTAAAAGGTCAGAATACATTAAAAAATACATAATACAAATTCATCTTAGACCAAATCAATATTTAGTAATGCTACCAATTATGATGTATCATTTAGAATACATTTATTACCTAGTGACTAAAAATTATTTAAATTTAAAATATTTTAATTAAAATGTATATTTCGTAATAAGTTATATTCTTAAAATATCAAGTAAATTTCAAAGTAAATTAGGATTTGAGTTACTTTATTATCTGCCAACTAACATATTAATATATCTACTAAATTTTCGGTTCCACTTTTTACTTATTGTAAGTACTTATAATTATTTATATTTAATATCAGAAATTTAGTAAAAAAATGTATTTTATCTTTAAAAAGTTTAAATAAACAAAGGCATTAGGGTATCTGTACTTTGTGTTCAATATTTAAATAGAAATAAATCAAAAACCATAATTAATACTTATATACTATTGCATTATACCTATTTTTACACTATTATAATAGAACAATTAATTTAAGTCATTTCTAACATATAAATGCTAAATAAACATGTTACAATTATAAATGACAATAATAACTAAAAATAACGTCTTAATTTTATTTATACCGTCTGTGTAAAATAATTTTATAGCATGTGTACCATTGTGTAATACAAACTCACGTCTTTATCCATTATACAGTATACTATTTATTTGTCGTATGCGCCTAACCTAACGTTTATAAATTTGAAATTTTATATTTATACTAGCTGAATTACCTGGCTTTGCCCGAGTATAGATTGTGTTTTCTCAAAATTTTACTTAATTTTATCAAGTGCTAAATAGTAGTAGTAACTGAATTATAAATAAAACAAAAATATAATAATAACTCGTATGAGTATTTAGTACAACTCAGTGAAAAAAAATTGGAAAGTTGTTAAATAGTGTCGCCACAAAACGAGAAAAAAACTGTTTTCCTATTGTTTACGTAGTTAAGTATCTATAAAACATTTTGGTAATTTTTTAATGGAAAAATTTCGTTTTAAAGGCATTTGTTCAAGATTTTTTTCTATGGTTTATTAGGCATTTAAATCTGAATTCAAATAATGATTAACGCATATTACCCCTATTACAGATAGTGCATCGTGCGCAAAATCGCTTTCGTCGCCATATTCATCTTCTGGAGTATATTCATGTGTAAAATCATGTTCCTCTTCAACGTCAGAATAATCTCCTTTATTCATGTTATTTATTTTTAAATATCATACATTATTCAACGGAAATCTTAGTTTTCAATGAAACTATATACATACAATAAAATACACAAGTTTAGATTCTACGGTTTAATTTTGCTAGGTAACTGTAATATTATAATATAAACTCTTATATTATTGAAAAGTAACACAATAGCGCGATGTATTTTTTCGGTATTCATGATGTATTATGCTTTTCTATTGAAATTGTTTCATACATCATCTGTGATTAAAAGTTAAAAATAAATACCATTTTGCTTATTGTTTAGTAAATATTAAGTATGGTAAATATTTAGGGGGAATTCTAGTTAAGTACAAATATATGATGTCTTGGTGGCACTTGAGATCCGTGAAGTTAGAACAGTTTACGATTTAATAAACTCAGTTTCAAAATTTTATATACCTAAATTATAGCTTCATCTTTTGCTCGCTCACAAGTCCAACAATAATAAAACAGTTTTTTAATTGTACGAATTACTAGTGAAATAAAGTCGACTGTCAATGGACTAAAAATCGGTTGTAAAATATTTACTATAGTGTTAGTAGGACTTTTCTTCTTTAATATAAAATGACCATTATGCGAGTAAACTTTATCAACTTGACTATTGTAGTTGTTGTGTTCTATATTTAAATGAGTCAAATATTAGCAGCTTACTATGTAAAAGTAACCAGACAGCAATAATTATTATAATATATTGTGTACAATACTGATAAAAATATGATATATATATATATATATATATATATAATAATTCTTAATTTAATTTTATGGACTGTTCAATAAATAAGTTATTGTTTATTTATAGCTAGTTTTTTTTTCGGTGGAGAAATACAATTTATAAGTCCTTCCAAATAGGTTACCATTACAGTCTGTAGATGTTATATATATTTACCGAGTAATGACTAGATAGTAGACGTAAATACGTAAATAAAAAAAATCAGTATATAAGACGTTTATAAGTGACAATTTAGAAACAACTGTAAGCTGAATAAAAACATATCAAGTAATAAACATGCGCCAAAATCAAACCGGAATAATATTCAGAAGTAAACAAACTAAACATTTACGTTTAATTTAACATTCAAAAAACATAACATTTTTATACCCGTTGTAAATAATAAAGATTGACTAATGTTTATGAATTTATTAAAAAAGATTATGTACACAATCCATTTACTGCAACATTTCAACTATTTTTATTTTTATGTATTCAAACACGTTTTATCAGTGGCTCATTAATTATTACCAATGTAATAATATTTATGCAATACTTACTTATTATAACTTTATAAATAAATGGATTAAAGTTTAATCTCAGTAATAATATAAACATAAATGAATCGTATAACCTCAAATAAATATAAAAACAGTTTAACATATAAAGATATTAAATGAAAAAATAGAATAAAATCGAAAAATAATAATAAGAAAATGAATTTTTATAATATTATAAAATAATTGTATATATTTGTAATAATATTATGGTAATTCATATGTGGATAAAATAATGATAGAAAAAAAATAGCAATCACATAGAATTAAATGAAATTTGTAATAGAAAATTGCATAAACCCAGCATACGAAAGCCAAAATTCGAAATGTTAAATTTACGAAATCATTTAACAACCGCGAGGAATCTTAGCGAGGACTGGTGGTTGGTTGCATGGGCCGGGTGGTGGGTAGCACGGTGCTGAACATGGATATGGCGACGGAATCAAAAACAATTGAGGAAGACCAACTGGGGTTTGGTAATCGATATCAGGTTTTGAACATACAGACCAGGATTGAAGAGCACTTTTGGTAATGGAGCGGTGGCAACACGACAGGTGGAGTTGGTAATGGTGGTAGCAAGAATATTTTGTTTGGATCGAGTGGTGCAATGTGATAGACGTTCTTAATTGACGTCATTGATAACGATAGGCCAGGTGCCGCTCCGGAATATGATGGGTGGAGCCGGACTTGAGTCAGTTTGATGAGCAGATTAGGCTGACCGGCAGGAACACGATTGAGCTGACTTTCCAGCTACTGACGGCAATTGACTATCAATGGACCGGGTGCTGGTCCGAGCTATGACCTGAGGTGCAGGTGCGGGAACCGAAGAGTTGTAGCTACGGTCAGGGCCGACCACTGATGGGTTTCAGTGGGTAAAAGTGACAGAGTGTGGTAAGGTGAATATGGTGCCGCTACTTTAAGCGAAACAAAGAGGCTTTCAGGAACAGCTGGACTAATGGGTGGAGAAGGTATGCACGGCGGTTGAGGTGGGGCTGGAAGATATGGGGATGGTAAAGGTAGGGTGGTTGGAAGATATGAGGGTGGAAGTGCTGGGGCTGGAAGACATGGAGGTGGTAGTGCAGGGGCTGGAAGACGTGGGGGTGGTAGAACAGGGGCTGAAAGATATGAGGGTGAAAGTGCTGGGACTGGAAGACATGGAGGTGGTAGTGCAGGGGCTGGAAGACATGGGGATGGTAGAGGTGGGGCTAGAAGATATGTGGGTGGTGGAGTTGGTAAGCATGGTAGAGGGAGTGATGGTGGGGATGATGGTAGTGGTAAACAAGGTGGAGGGAAATATAGTGATGGACGTGGTAAACAAGGGAGTGGAAGTGGAAGTGAACTTGTTGGTAGTGGTAAGGGAGGTGGTGAGAGTGCTGGTGGATAACAAAGTGGCCCTATTTCATAGTAAGGTGGTAGAAATCCATCACAAGGTGTTGCTTGAGCCTTTCAATAAAAAATATATTTAATTCGTCGATTTGATATTTTATATTATCATTATTTCTTACCTTAGCAAAGCAAATCAACACTAAGGCTGTTATTATTCTTAAAGTATTCATTTTTCGAATAATGATTGAATGAATATAATATAAAATAAGGAATTCAATTTGTTTAAGTTTTATACTTAAATCATTCGTTTTTGTTTTTAATATTTTCACGTTTCTCTAATCTGAGTACGGAAATACGATCAAACACGTTTTTGTTAAACACTCTAACGTACATCTAACAACTGATATAATGTTTTTATCAATATTTATACATGGTCATTATCGGTAAAAAATGAATCAAGCAATTTTTATATTAAATATGTACCTACAGGTTATATATTATTTGTTTAACTATACACTTACAAATTATGCATATATTATTATTAATTGTATTTGATCATTACAAAATGAGTTTATTATATAATAAAAAGAATAATACAAATTAAAAAGTTACTTACATTCACGTGTAAAATCATATCATATAATGCATATTTTACTTAAAAAATATTATTAAATAACTTACACGAGTTTAGAGAAAATTGCTTAACAGTTAAAAATATATATTCATTCAAACAAATAATTCTAGATTTTTTTAATATCAAACAGATGTAATTTATAGAGATAAGTATAGAAAGGTTTTAATGGGATCAAAAATAAATTATTAATTAATCCTGGGTCCCCTACTTGTCCTCTCAATGAGGCCCAGTACTTAAATGTATATGACATTAAACTAAATATGTAAATAAATAAATTTAAAAATTATGGGATCGTTAAACCACTTATTTCTGAGTTTTACTTATTTTAATCAAATTGCATATAAATAAAGAAAAATGAAAAATAATATTCTGAAAATCAATGTTACATCTGGTGTCACTCGAGGAGATAACTAGTTTTCTACATTATTCTATCTTTTTTTAAATATGTCTAAACTATTATAATTAATTTTTATGTGTTGCTTAGTAATCAATTACTATTTAAATAGAGGTTAGTTAATAGTTGCATAGATGATTGATCGAACAACAAAATATTTAAAAAAATATTTATAAGTGGTGTTAAGAAAATGCTATTTAAATTTAAATAAATATTAAAACCTGTAAAAATTATTTTTAGATTAATTAAATTTATTAAGAGTAAACACAGTACTTGAAATAAATTAATTCTAATTTGATTCTTCTTAATTTCAATTAAAAATGTGATGGTATGAAATATTTTCATTTAAAGTCAATTTATATGAGCTTTTTATGTAAGTACACAAACACTGAGTATATTATAAACATATATATTATATTTAATAATTATGTTTTATTTTTAAATTAAATGAACATTTTATTGAAATATATTTAAATGCATTGTATTTTGTTATATTACAAGGTGTATACTTATACTTGACGCGATTGGTATTTTTTGTAAGATTATGATTAATGTACCTAAGTATTTTGATGAATTACAATAAATAATGAATTATACAAAAGTGAAACAATTTTCAAATTTAAATTCAAGTTTAAGTGTTGAGTAAATAATAATTATCTATGAATACTTCAAGCTGAGTGTTTATTATTAAAATTAAATGTTCTCAGTTAAAACATGTTTCCACAAAAAAACATGAATTATTTATTTTATATTATTTATTACGTTTATATTTAAACTTTATTATTTTTACTTAATATTAAAATATCTAAACTTATTATTAATATCTATATTGTAATGTTTATTTACAAATTTTAAAATGTATCTGGAGTATTTAGTAATAACCTAGAAGCATAATCTATATTTAATAGTGTAAACACATATCTTTGATGATAAGTATTCATAAAAAAAAAAAAATAAATAAAAATAATGATTAATGAAATCAGTGAGAAAAAACAAGGATAAATAAACGTGAAGATTTGAAAAACAAAACAAATAAGATTTTAGTATAAAAACTTAGCTGCAGTGCTAATTTAGATATATTCTTCAACAGTTCTTCAAACAATTACATACAGAATGAAGACTTTAAGAATTGTATTTGCTTTGGCATTGGCCTGTTTGGCTAAGGTAAGAAATATTTTACAATCCTAACGTACCTGGATGTTATCTAATAATAATTTTATTATCAAGGTTGAAGCAGGTCCTTGTGGCACATGTGGAGGATATCCATTCCTTCCAGATCCTTATCTAGAACTTTCTTTGGCACCACCACCATGTTCACTTCCACTTCCACTCCCTTCTTTACCACTGCCAGCACCGCCATGCTTCCTTCCACCACCACCGCCACCATGTTTACCATTACCACCATTACCACTTCCACTTCCTTGCTTACCGCCACCACCACCACCACCTCCATGCTTCCTGCCACCACCGCCGCCACCATGTTTACCACTACCACCATTACCACTTCCACTT